TAAATGTAAACGAGTTATAGAAGAAGAGAAAAGAGAAGATTTTTAACGGTTTTTTCGATATATCTCGAAAAGTAACAAAGCAATCGATACTTACAAAAAATCAGTCAATAGATCTTTTTAAAACCTACAACTTTCTCATTTACAATTTTTCAATCGGTGCTATATTTTTTTAGTTATTTTAGAGAAACCGTTTTTTTGCAAATTTGCGATTCTTTTTAACCATGTTCACCATTTTGGATCGAGTTTAAAGAACAACAAACTCAATTTAAAATTTAACTTTCTATACAGTCATATTTTTTTGTCCAGGTAATAATTTCTGCAAATTTAACGTTAATCCATGACAGAAAGCTTGAACTACTACTCACCTCGACGCACAGGGAATCGTGGTTGAAGTAGGCCCTAACGGCGAGATTTCCGAATGGACTGCTGGTGATGTTCAGTTGTTCCTGCAACCTCTGTCCGTAGAATATCTCTATTAGAGATTCGGTGTCGGTCCTGTGGTATTGCAGTCTCTGCTCGATCTGACAGTAGGTCGCCGAATGCAAGACGTCCGTACTCAGGGCCTGTCCCTCGGCGTGGAAGAAGTCCACCATCAGTTCCAGCGCCGAGTGCAGCCTGTCGTGGAACATGGCCGGCATCTCTTCGCTGCTCGTGCCTCCGTCCATCTGGTGGTTCAGCTCCGCCAAAGTGTATTCCCAGACCTTTAAGTGATTTAGTTAGAAACGTTACTTTTCTCGGAAACATACAATCATTATTATAATATTACACCTGCAAACGATTACTAGGAATTCAGCAGTTAATTAAGCGTAATTAATTGATTCGCTCGCCTCGTAAAGCACTTTGTGGAAGTTCTGCGGCAAAAGGGCCAAGTTCAGCGCCTGTAAGTGGGTATGCAGGTAGTCGAAGAGCGGCTCGACGGCTTCGTTCGTGGGCAGCGTGTCCGGCGACCATGCCACGTGGAACATCGCCTTCCTGAGCGTCTCCTGCATCTGCGGCCCCACCCTCTTCAGTATGTCCATTATCCTAACTAGGAATTGGCTTAGCGTACTATCTAATTGGTTCGTTAATGTGGCGAATTGCACTTCTGACGCTATTGACTCTAGCGTTACGAAATCGAAGTAATTTTCTGGAAGGAACGAAGCGAATTAGCCGAGACAAAAATTTACCAAGCCACTTACCTAGTAGCGATACAAATTTATACACATATTCTAAATTATTCGAAGCTATACACATTTCGTCGCAAATCTTGAAGGGCCCCAGCCTGTCGAAGTATCCGGTTTCCATCAAGCCCTGGTAGGTGATGTCGGCGTAGAGCAAAGCGGCCGAGCAAATGCAGTCGAGTAACTGAGACAGCAGTAGTACCGAGTAAGCTTTAGGCCATTGCAGCAGTCTCCAAAAGTCTCTAAGTTGGCAGAACATCGCCACCACGTCGACGGCAGAGGAGCTGTGCTTCACGAGCTTGTCTCCTTCGCAGGGCTTCTGCAGATCCACAGCCGTTCTCACCTGAGCGTAAGACAAAATTTTTTAGTGCGGGTTTTTAAATTTGCCATTACACAAGAACAAAAGAAATGCAATTAATTAATAATAATTAACGGTAATAATTGTAATTTATCGTAACTAGTCCTCATTAATTGCGACTAATTAATTGTAATTGGTCATAATTAAGTGCAATTAGTCATAATTAATTGTAATTAATCCTAATTAATGACTGTTAATACTAGAAGAGGGCGTTCTCACCCGCTGGAGAGCCTTGGCCTTGCAAATATTTAACCAGCAGCTAACGGACGGTTCGAACCACTCGTGACAACGTGGCAACAGTAGCTTGTGATCCCCACCCATGGGCAGGTTCTGGTTGAAGGTTGCCAGGTCCTTCACTTCCAGGTAGACGGCGAAGGTAAGCCGGCTGTAAGCAGCGTCCGGGTGCTCGTTTTGGTTGAGGAACGCTATCACTTCGTCCGACATCAGCTTGTCTATCTGCTTGAAAACCACGCTGAAGTATGGTATACCGTTCGTACTGAAAGGAAAAACGTCAGTATAATTTCTCGTGCTTTTCCGAGTTCTTAAAGGTGTTTTCTGCTTTGTTTTCGAGAGCTTCTTTCGCGTTAACCGGAACTTTGCGTCTCCCCCTTTTAACTTCAGGCATGTCAATAAGTGCGTGATATACAACTTCCTTTGCGCTACAACAAATCGAACAACAAATTTTGCCACTTCTCAATCCCATAATATAATGGTTCAACTTCTTGAAATCCCTCTACGTCATGCGTGTCATAAGCGTATAAGTGGGAAATATGTGTTTTATAAATAAACTTCAGGGCAATCCGAGCTCACGAATTTGTAATTTTATTGCATCTAAATAATTTTAAAACAATATAACGTGTTGTTTTTGAGTAACTTTTCTGTTATGAGTTGCATTTAAGCCATGAAGAAGACCTAAATATCGCATGACAATAGCTGTTTTACATCGACAATTTATTGATCAATTAATTTATAAAGTAGCTTCATCAAGAAATTGGACAAGTGTAATGCACCAAATCTGCTGTTAAATAACTTCATGAATTTATTCAATATTCAAGTCTTGGTTAATTCTTTGTGAAGTTCGGAAGTACCAACCCAACAGATTTCCATCCTCAGATCAGTAATGAGGTTATGTTATTAGAATATGTAAATAATTGTGTGGCGTCGTGCTAGTTTTGCATTGTTTTTACTGATTTGTTACTTACAAAAACTAATATTTATATGTGTCAGAATGGTACCGCTGTTGTAACACTACAATTATGAGTGGAAAGGTGACATTTTTGAAATTTATTTGCTTCTTTGATTCGTTGGTAGAACTGATTCATGCGTCGAAAAACTTGATAAAGTCTGTAGTAAGTAGTGTAAAACCACACTGTTTACCAATAAATTCGTGAATTAATTCATGAAGAACTTCGTCAATTTATTCACCAATAAATTGTCAATGTAAAACAGCTAT